AAAAAAAAACGAGGTCGAAATAGTTAATTTAAATTTAGCTACACTCTACAGAAATCTGATTCGAAGGCTCGTCCTCTTGCACATTGATTTCTGTCACATTCCCTTCCGGTGAAGGGCAAGGCTGCTCTTCTTCATTTTCATTGATTTTCATCACATTCCCTTCCAGTGCAGGGCAAGGCTGCTCTTCTTCATTTTCATTGTTTTCATTCTCTGGGTGAAAATTAATCGGGAATTTCGTCACTCTAGGTTTATCGACCAAAATGTTTCTTTGAATCTTATCTATTAAAACCTTCTGAGGTGGCTCTTCCCGTAGCTTCTCATCCTCGTAATCGTTGTTCACGTAGTATCCTACCCGGATAAACTCTTGCCCTTGGTAGGAGCAAGTCAGAAGCAGCACAGTCACGCCAATAATGTCCTCCTCGCGAATCTTTGATGGGTCTGGGGGGTCAGCCTGAAATTTGCCGAGCAAGAATTGAGTCAACTCATGAAAGGCAAGAAAAGTATTTTCAGGTGATAGAGGAGCGCGAATAAATCCGTTAGTTACCTGGAAAATAAAACGGTAGTTACCAACATTGATGGGGCCAACGAGCACGCTTTCTAGCACTTGGTCATATGTTTCATCCTCGGCTGATCCTACATAGACTAGTTTCCACTCCAAATCTAAGGAAATATCAACAAGTATCAGAACATGCCCCAAGAATAGACTTTTTTTATGATAGAAACCAAACAATATCGCTGGCTCAAACCAAAAAGAAACACATCTAAACTGAAAAACAGAACATATGACCCACAGTATTTAAAACCCCCGGCAAGGGGAACCTTCACAATTACTGCAAATTATAGTACAAATATATCGGGAATCTTTCATGGGTTTTGAGAGTCTAAATTGAACCTAGAAATTTACTCGGGGTGCCAGAAAGTGCATAGAGAAGCTTTATGAGAACAAAAAAGGGGGATTCGGATAAAGATTCAACTGCATACTAGGTAGCATTAGATCTTTAATTCATCATATAAACCCTTATAATATGTTACCCGGACTCTTCTATTTAGGAAGAATACCCGTGTCATGTTGTGTCGACACTGGTGTGGGTATGAGTGTCGGGTGTGGCATTTTAGCTTAAAATGTTCAAGATTTCTAAACTATTGACGAGTCGGACGCTCATATCTCCACACCCGATATGCTACCCATATCCGAGTCCAGGTAGATAAAACCCTGCTATACAGGTACCAGCACAAGGTCCATACCTTTTGGTTATCCGCTTAAAAATGGAGCTCATCTTTCCCAAAACAAAAACTGCAAAAAGTGAACTATAGTACAGGTATGAAAACCCAGATTTAATGGCCTAAAAGGAAGGACTTAAGCAGGATAAAGAGGGTATCGGTGCCTATAATAACACCAGGATGTCGTGGGGAAACTCAAATTCCTCTGTCAAATGCCCAAGGATTCACATAAAGCACGAAAAATCGAAGAACTTGAGCAAAAGGAAATTCAAAGAGAAAAATTTCCAACTCCTCTAACCCGAATAATCAAAACCGTTTGAATTCATATTCCGGTGGAGAACATAATCCAGTTGAGCAAATTGAAGTAATGAAAATGATCTTCTTACCGTCTTTGAGAGGAGTCAGACATTCATAGGATATCTCGAATTGGAAGGGATCGACAAACGGAGCTGGGTTCCCCAAAACGGTGACGTCCTTCACATTGACGGCGCTCATCTTCTTTCTTTTTTCTTATCGGCCGGCGAACTTCACCGGAAATCGGAGAAAAGACGTTCGGAAAAACACAAACGAAACCCTAGAAATTGAAATTTGGGGGCAATGAGGCGGAAGGCGCCCGGCGGAAGACTTTATACAGATATGAAACTGACATTGGGTGGGTTGGCGGGAAAACGTTTAGCTGAAAACTGGAGGAGCCGCGAAAATGAAAGCCATTGATGAAACAATGAAAAGCGCGATTATTAGGTTATGCTTTCGAACGGATCGAGAGGTAGCAAACTCGTGTTTTAAATGGATGGCGGCTATTTTGTAAAACTTTTGTGACTTTTTTTTTTTTTTTTCGAAATCATAGAAATTTTGTATAAAAATAAATAAACATCTAAAAAAAATGGGCAATTGAATAAGACAGTTCTAGAGCGGAGAACAAACCTGAATATCGCCTAGAATCTACACTAGTGACTCAATTGAGGTTAAAGTTTGGATAAAGTAAATCACGATATTATTAACTCAATATGATAAAAAAAAAGGCTAGAATGAGATGTTGTGAGATGAAGGTGAAGAACAAATTAAAGCACTTTGTGTGGAAATGTTTATCTGACAGCCTGCCGGTGAGTTCAAATTTAGCTGGGAGAGGTATGGATGTGGATATCAATTATCATGTGTCAATGTGTGTGGGGAGATGAGAGAAAATGTTAGCCATCTGTTGTTTGATTGTCCTCGAGTCAGAAGGGTGTGGAAGCTAGCCCCGGTCTCATGGGATGCTCCTGCTGAAACTATAACAAACTGTAGACTGTGGTGGTGGTAGGTAACTGAAATGAATAAATCTTCGACTTCCGAAGCGTGTATCCAACTTTCAACATACATCCTATGGTGGCTTTGGAAGTCGCGTAACTCATGGGTTTTTCAAGCGACTTGGATGCCGAAGACCATAGTAGTTTCTTCGGCTTTGAAAGAGTGGTCTGAATTTCAGCATGCATCATTTTCTTAGGCTTCGGGTCCTTTTCTTTGGTTTGTTTTTTGTTTTTTGTGTTGGTTTCGGGGACTAGGTTCTTGGGTTCAGTGGTCCTTGTGTATTGTTGTGTGATTATTGTCTTCGTCGTGTGATGGTTTTTAGATTTGGTTGCTCTAAGTGTCAAAGCTGTGTATTTACGTTTAGTTGCGATTTGTTTTTTTTTCTTTTGTTGCTAGGCCACCATCGGAGTGTTATTCTAAAAATTAAAGTAAATAAAATTATTATAGCAAATGTAAGTCGCACAAGTAACATGTGTATTATAAAATATATATAAGTCCCACAAGTACACAGGTGTTGTTCTAGTTTGCTATTAGTCACAAAAATGTAAGGGTCAAAATCTTTTTCACCCCATTATAAATCTATTCTTTCTTTTACACACCGCCCCATGAAATAACTTCTTTTACACCCCAAAACTCAGGAAATGCTATGCGATATTACAGTCGCATGTCCAAATGAACCAGCGCATATCCAAGCGGACGCATAATTTATGACTATGCGAAAACATTTCGCATTTTTGTAATCGCATATCCACATCAAACGCATAATTTACAAATATGCGAATATCTTTCGCAGTTTTAAGAATCGCATATCATAATCGAATGCAGCATAATTTACGATGATTATGCGCCTTATTTCGCAGGGCTATATCGACCTTGCAAATTTATGACTGTGCGAAAACGTTTCGCATATCATTCGCATTATTTGTTGAATTCGCATTTTCTGGAAATTGCATATCCAAGTCAATCGCATAATTTACTGGTATGCGAAAAACTTTCGCATATATCCGCCGGATAATTGACAATGATGCGATGTTTTTTCACTCGCATATTGAAGAATCGTATAACAAAATTGAATAAAGCATAATTTAATTGACGGTAACGCGCCATTTTTTCGCAGGGCCATATCGTCATGGAAATTTTACGACTATTCAGAATTTGATCGCATATCTGTCGCATAAGTTACGCACCTCATTAATTGACTGCTTTTTCATAGGTGAGGATTTTGTCTGTGCATTTATCATGCAGGCAAAAAAACAGTGATCTCTAACAATTCAACGTATGCACCATTCTTCTCCATTGCAATTTTCTGTTTCTTTCGTTTTAATTCCTTTTGTTGTTCACTTATTTGAATGGCTAGCACCCGTGTTAGAGTATGCGTGAGCTATGGTGGTACGTTTTTCGGGGGTTCATATCTTGGTGGAGTGGCAGAGCTGATGAGAATAAATTACGGCCGACAAATGTATTCTGAAGTAGTTTCTCGTGTTCAAGCATTATTGAAGGCCGATCCTTGTAATTTTGAGTACTTATTGTGGGCAGTATTTGATGGAAGGGAACGAAAAGTGAAGATGAAAATTGAATCCAGTGAAGATATCTTAGAGCTGATTGAAGAACAAAAAACTCTCAACATTTACGTGGAGTTGGAGAAGCGAGTAAATGTAGGTGTTTCGGGGACGGCGCAACAAAGCTTCACGCAAATGATGGCGTCCCAAGGTGTATTTCCGAGTTCTTTTGGTGTTGGTAGTTCTGCATTTTCCCACGAGGCCCCATATTCACATCAAGCAAGCCCTAGTTCAGTTACACATACTGGATATCCTCGCGGCGCTGGTGATCAAACCGCGGGTTGTTCGAACCAACCAGGTCATTCTCGTGACGATGACAATAATGATGACCAAACCAACATGCACAATGGTGACTCAGGCGACGAAGACAAAGAGGTACATGAGAAGCAAATGTTCAAGCTTTTCAGGGCGTGGTATAGCGAGCATATTGTAGAGCTAAGATTAATCACCGACCATATTGAGGTTGAAAGTCTTGCATATATGAATCGAGGTAGCACCCGGCAATCCGACGTTGAGCCACGAATGTGGTCCCTTCCTATGCCGCCCACGAAAACTGGATCAAATAGACAACCCATCCACTTACCCTCGAACAATATAGAATTATCTTTGGGGTCTGTCTTTCTTTCGAAAGAAGAGTTGATTCGTGTTATTCAACTGTATCACTTGCAACAAAAAGTTGAGTGTCGAACACCCAAATCCTGCACTTCTAGGTTAAAATCTGTTTGTCGGTATGAAGGGTGTTCTTACAAGTTATGTGCAAGGGCAAACCGAGATGTATGGAGAATCACTACTTTGAAACTCGAGCATACATGCGAAGGGAGTTTGACGCACAATCGACACCGTTCGGCTAATTCCAAGGTTCTCGCTCATATTTACGCATCAACTATTCAGACAAATCCCCAGACGGTATCTACACGGAGAATTATTGAACAAATGCGGGAGGAGCATGGTTTGTCGATCAGCTACAATGTGTCCCTCCGAGAAAGACACCGTGCTTTTGAAAAAGTTTATGGAGGTCATGACGAATCATGGGGGCGGCTTCCCGATTACTTGCACATGTTGCAGGTTCGTAATCCAGGTACAATTGTCGAACTGCAACGAGATGGCGAGGTATTCCAACACTTGTTCTTTGCTCTAGGAGCTAGCATTGAGGGCTTTCAACGAGCTGGTGTCCCGGTAATTGTGATAGATGGTACCCACTTGAAAGGAAAATATAAGGGCATTATGTTTGTTGCAGCCACATTGGACGGGAATCACCAAATCTTTCCCCTCGCAGTTGGCATTGGTGATGTAGAGCGTCGTGAGACTTGGAGTTGGTTTTTGACTCAATTGAGAAGGGCCTATGGTTGTCCTGATAACCTCCTCATCGTCTCGGATAGACATGAGTCTATCATATATTCTGTCCCAATAGTGTTCCCCGAGGCGCATCATTCATTTTGCTATTATCACATCACAAAACAAATGAGGCCTTTTGGGAAATCTGTCTTGGGCATATTTTACAAGGCGGCATATTGTTATCGGCGTCTTCTATCGTTACTTGTCATCCATCCGAAGCCTAAAACCCGAAGCATTTAAAAAGCTAACTAATGAAATTCCGGTAAATGCTTGGGCGAGGTGTTTTACACCTGTACGGCGCTATGGATTCATGACATCCAATTCATGCGAAAGTTTGAACAACAAAACTCCGTTGGGCCAGGATGTTACCCGTTTGCTCGTTGTTGGAGTGTGTTCGAGCAACGATAGAGAAATGGTTTGTTGTTCGGCGTGCATCCGCCGAGGGTCACAATCATCCGCTAACGCAGTGGACTCAATTGCGGTTGGATCCTTTGTTCGAGAAAGGTCGTACTCTATCCATTACCACACTCGGCATGCAACGTTATAGGGTTATGGAAGAAACACGATCCTACGTGGTAGATTTAGAGGCAAGAACATGTGATTGTCGTGTGTTTGAAACAAATCTACTACCTTGCTTACATGCACCTACGGCTATTCGGTAATGTTTACCAAACAACATTATCGGTTTTTTCTTTAAAAAAAATAAAAATTATTATAAATAGATGTGCATTTACGATATGTAACAGGGAAGTCGGGTTAGATATAATGGATTTCGTTAATGACCATTACAAAACCTACTCAGTTGCAAGGATGTACGAAAGCACCGTTAGCCCCGTCCCGCATCCAGATGAATGGAACTTGCCCCCGGAAATTATGCGTAAAATGGTAATTCCGTCAAATGATCCCAAACAAGTAGGTCGGCCACGGACTCAACGTTATTCCGTTGGAGAAGGATCATCACGTCGAGTACGGCGTCAGCAGATGTGCTCACGGTACGGGATCACCGGGCATAACAGGGCGAAGTGCCCTCTATACGATGGTGATAATGACTTTTTTTCAAAAGAAGAAGGTCAAAACGCACCAACTCCTCATCCAAGACGCCCGAGGAGATGTCGTACATGTAAAGAAACAGGTTACAAATCGTCATCTTGTCCATCACGTCCAATCCATGACAATTAAGATGAAGATGGAGTTTTTAATTGTAAACCAATTTAACGAAAACAATACTTTTAACGGGAAAAATACTGTGTTGGTGCCCTAAGTTGTGACCTGCACACGATTGACTAACAAAAATTAGTGAAACTGGGTTGATTGAGCGATTCGCATAACATGTCCCATAATAATCGCACAATTGGGTTGATTGTGCGATTCCCATATCATATCCCATAATAATCGCACAACTGGGATGATTCGCCTAGTCTTCAACCGCATAATTAACGAATCGTATATCCAAATCGAAAGCCACATAATTTACGACTATCCGCCATTTTTTTCGCATATCCATATGGACCGCATTGATTGATTGTCTGCACCGCATATCAAAATCGAAAGTGCTTCGCATATTATTCGCATACGTTACGCACCGAATTGATTGATTGTCTGCACCGCATATCCAAATCGAAAATGCTCCGCATATTGTTCACATAAGTTAAGATTCGCATCATTTAGGATTATGCGGCATATGTTCGCATAATTTAAGATTCGCATATCCAAATCTATAAGGGTAGATAGTAGATAACTATCGATTATGCGTATTGTTATCGCATATTTAAGAATCGCATATCCATATAAAACCTCGCATAAATGTATCAATATGCGAACACATTTCGAAAAGTGTTACGCACAGCTTTTTTTCACCAAATAGTTTTTTTTTTAATTCATTATTAATTTAGTCAAAGACATTTTCCAAAATTTACCAACTATTCGGAAAATATGGGATGTTTGTATGTTGCAATTTTTTACATCGGGGAATATAGAATTTACAAAAACAAATATAAAAAAAAATATGTTATTCGTTATAGTTCGAGTTATGCATTTTTTATGCGGAAATGTTTCCAGTAATAATCGCAGGTTCTTTCGCCTAATAGTAGTCTTCTTCAATTTATTATTAAATCACTGACAGAACTTAAAAAAAAAAGCGAGTTATATAATATGCGACGTATACGCGGAAATGTTTCGAGTAATTAAATGCACCAATTCTGTGAATAATATGCGATGTATATGTAGTAATTTTGCATCAACTCAACTACTTTACACCAATTCTGCGAATAATATGCGACGTATATGTCGTAATTTTGCATCGACTCAACTACTTTACGTCAAGTAATTTTTTATAGGCGAATAATATGCGACGCATGTACGTCGCAATTTTACATGTACTCAACTATTTTACATCGACTGTGAAGTAGTTCACAAGTAACCTCACAACGTCACACAAATTACTAGATAGAGGAGGCTACAACAGCGAGTTGAAGAACAACTTCAAATGTACCAAAAAAAAAAACAAAAAACAGCTTCAAAGATCACAACCAATTGGATGTCTGTGCCGAAGCTGGAGGAACATGGGGAGCTAAACAAGTTGGTCCGAGAGATGAACGTGTTCGCCAAACCATGTTTGACTTTCGATAAACATTTGAAAGTCTCAATCTAGTATACCCCGAAAGAACAAGCACCTTCGTCTTTGAAGGGGTGCTCCCTTTCACCGTCGTAGGCGCCTCAATCTAGTAAACCCCGGAAGACCAAGCAATTCGCAAGAGATTCCACGCCTACCCAAACACATGGTCACCTACAACTTTTTCAGCCTCCATTTTTTTTTAGCTTACAATGTGAGAAGACCATGTGCCTGGGAAGGCGTGGGATCTCCAGGGAGAGTGCTTGGACTTCCGAGGTATACTAGATTGAAGAGGCTACGACAGTGAAAGGGAGCGCACCCTCAAAGACAAAAGGAGGATCATGACCCATCTCTCAATTCTTCAACCTTCGA